TGATATTTCATATGGTATTTCATATGGAAGGTTATTGACTTATCTTACACTTATTGTTTGATATCCAATCAACATTTGATATGAGTTCAGATGTAATGAACCCTAAAGCCCTCGTTTTTCTTCTGAACTAGAAGGAATGGTGTGAATGTGCCACTTTATTCCTCAATAAATACAGTGTTAGATGAGTCTAAAAGTGCAGGATGTATAATGCCAGAGTCAGACGTGCACTTCTGAGATCAATAAAAGATTCATTTGGGAAAAGGATGCGAGTGAATAAGTAAACGGCCAGTCGCACTAATCAGATTATCTGACAGAAAGATGAACTGTCCGACGTGGAGATATTGATTCAGCTAATTAAACTCAATGAAAGTTGTGTTTGGGATTGGAATCATAACCAAAAGTCAGTCGATGCAAGTGAGACTTGTTACATTTGTGTATCTGATGTATTGAATGTTTGGCGCCACATTGCTTCCAGATTCTTGTGTTAAGCTGAGTGATCTTGAGTAAGCGTTTAAGTGCATGTAAGCTTTTATTTTTATTAAGAGTAAATTGGCTCCAAATGCATAAGTTGAAAGAGACAGTCTCAGTCGCATACTAAGAAGTCTGTGCTAAAAACAAGATTTGTTAAATGAAGAATTTTGTGCAACATCTCTTATGTTTTGTCAAAAAAAGTGGCTAATTCATAGGAGTCGTGTCTCCAAACCCCACAACTAACCCATACCTCTCATTAGGGCTTGAGAGAGTCATGCTAAAATGTACAAATGAGATCGTAGAAATTAATATGAATTAAATCACCAAACCACTAAATCAAAAAAGTTATGAATTGCCAAGAGATTGCATTGATTGAGTGGTTATATGTTTTTACCCATGATTATTTAGCCTTAAATTAGACTGATTTGATTGATTTTGGTTTGGGTTGTATATTGAAACCACTTAAAGAGACAGTTCATCCAAAATAATCCAATTCCACACTCTAAAATGCTGGGTTATTTCAACCCTTTTCTGAGTGTAATATGGACCAAACCATCTATTGTGTTAATTTTTAAATGTTTGGTTTAGTCTATATTTTACTCCCTTTGGATTTAAATATCTTAGCATTTCTTAGAGTGCACTGACTTCCATAGTATTTATTTTTTTCTACTATGGAAGTCAATGGTTACCAGTTACCAGCTTTCTTCTTTTAGGTTCAGGAAAATAAAGAAACTCATCAAGGTTTGGAACAACTTAAGGCTGAGTAAAAAGTAAGTACATTTTTATTTTGAGGTGAACTATCCCTTTAAGAAAAATAATAATACCAAGAATTCAAGAGCTACAGGTTTAATCAAATTCTTTCTAGCAGATATATTGAATTGTGCTTTATAGGACAAAAAATACAGACTTTTGCACACATTTCTCTCCATTCGACGAAGATGTCACTCCTGTCCACTGGTGGCAGTAATACTTTGAGCAATTCATCAACCGCCATTAAACCATGCCAAAAGCTACACCTGTGATTTGTCTCCTAAACCTCTGTGTGAGCCTGAGAAGCACTGACAGAAGTTTTGAGAATAGGCATAGGCAAATAGCATTTGTTTTTTTTCTTTTAAAGGAAAACCAAGCAAAAAGAGAAGGATTCAGGCCACAGAAGAATCATGTGTGTTGCTGCACCACCTGCTCCAATATTGGACTGTAAATGAAATGGAAAAATCTTGGAGGAGATGCAGACCTTCCATTATGTGTATGTAGTTTATATAAAGGTAGGTTCTTAGTTAATTCTACTTGTTTAACTGGATAAGGCCAATGTTTATACACAATTTGTTGCTTCTCCTACTAAATTGCTTCATGAACCGTCTTGTCTAGACTCTTGTAGAGTGATATTGGGGTAAAGTTGGTTTTATAATCACACATTTCTTCATTTTTGAAGCATTTGAAAATTCAGTCTGAAATACTATGACTTCAAAACAACATTAGCACTATTTAATTGACTGTTGTACTATGATATTCATTGGTTACTGATATGATCCCCCTATTTAGAATTACCAAAGTATGAAATGACATTATTAAGGAGATATTAAGATCGAAATGTGCAAATATAAAGCAAACCTTACCCCAATTAAGTTGTTCACTTACTACATGATCAAACAGGAGTCCCATCAAGCAATTTTGTGCTTAAAAGGCATCTTATAGACATCCAAACATAGAAGTCTTGGTTAAAACAAGGCTAAATTTGGACTGTCAGTGAAAAATCTAACAATAGTCCAAAAATATAGTCAACAAATAGATAGACTTCCACACAGTGATTCATTCCTGTGTATTTGATGACTATATTTAAGATATTGTTAGTTTATTTATTACGTTTTCACTGACAGACTAAATTTAACCTTGTAAAAGCCAAGACATCTGTGTTTGGATGTCTATTAGACGTCTTTTAAACATAAATGGTTCCCGGGAAGCCAGTAAATGCACCCCATAATTGATACTTACATTTTGTTTTAAACAAGATGTTGGTTCATTATTGTCCTGAGGCAAGATGAGTCTATTCATATGCTCATTATATTTTAGATAACATATTTAAAGCAATATTGCTTGTATTTCATGAACTCAGGCTTTCAGATTTTGATTGAACTAAAGGTTGAAGTACAATGTTTTGACTACCTTTCCACTTTTTGCTCATTTATTAGAATGAATTCAAAGTATTATCTTACTTTATACTAAATAAACGCATTATGCACTGCGATATTGTGTCTTTTGTTCACTCAAACAAAACCAGGCCTAGTAATGTATGAAGGTGTTCTTCTTTTCCATTTGTTTTAGTCTAATTGTAGCTATTATTTATCCAAAACTGAATGCATCTGCATAGATTTTAATCTCCAGGCTTTCCCTGACCTCAATACGCTGAGTGTTTCTTTCCTAGAAGCCATGAGCTGGCTGAGAGTATTGCTCATAACTCGAAAGGAAGTAATTATTCAGAGAAAGTGCTGTGGAAAGCAAAACTGGGCAAATATAGCAAGACCTAGATACAGAGATGAAGAACTAGCGTATATGTGTGTGTGGGTATGCAGCTGCATGAAAGTGCCCTACTGGGAACAGACTTGAACATTTTTTTTTACTGATTTGTGTATTGCTAACCGTACTAATCCTGTTAATCCATATTCTGAATGTGATAATGATATATTGCAGCAAAACAGGGACACGTCTGCATGTCTAACGTGTAATATTAATATCCTTGCTTGCTATCTAAGGGTGTTTGCTCCACAACAATGAAATGTTTTCTTTTAGGATTTTTAAAAAGATTTGTTTACTGATAGACACCAGAAATGTCTAAAAACACAGTATTATATGTTATGATTATATGGTATGTATAATAGTTGGTGATATCAATTTGTAATTAAACTGCAGACATTTAGCCCTATAATCCGCCATTGGTTTTGTTTTGTTGTTGTCAGGTATTCAAAAACATTTTGAAAGCCACAAAACTGAGTTGTTGTGTTAATGAACGGTTAAAATGCTTTCAGTTTTTTCATTTTTAGTTGAAAACCTAGCCAAGTAGGGGGCGGTTAGGTTCGGGGATGAGGTGTCTGAATAACACTGTTGAGAACCGGGTACCTTGTACTGTAGTGTTAGTAACTGTACTATGGAGCGTGTTTTGGGCGGGTTTAAGTTACGATAGTTTCCGGGAAAAAATAACAAATTGGGAAGGTCACGGGAGATCGGTCTTAAATACGGGAGACTCCTGGAAAAAACAGAAGTGTTGGAAGGTGCACTTAACTGTTCAGTTCTGGTATGCAGAGAAGGGTTGCAGAAAGAGAAGGTATGTTTGGGTGCAACCGCCAAAGGACTGCAGAATGACTGACAAGTGACGTTTTACCAAAACTCTTTTAATATCAGTTGTGTATAAATACTGGAGTCAGGGAAATACAGTTTTGTTGCGCATCTCCTGAATGTAATTCTTGTATTGGTGTAATGTAACCCAGAACTCTGTCCTCGAATCATTCATCTAATAAATAACTCAAAATTTAGGCATTGAAGAAAATCCTCTCCTGACCTTTTTTATTGAACAAGCATGGAATTGGCTTGATATTCCAACACTACCATATACCTATTTTAAAGTTTAGACTTTGGTAATTTAATTCATTCTTGCATTGCTACATTTAGCTTTTTAAATAAAACTAATTTGATTTGTTTTATAGTTTGACTATGGTAAATGTATCATCTTTTCTTTTTTTTCTTCTTTTTTTGTTGAACAAATTAAGTAAATTATTACGTATATAAAATAAATGCCCTATAGTGACCACCTTCAGGACATTAGCTGAATTTGCTAAATAATATTAGCATTCCACTTTTACTATATTTGTCATGTAGGAACATATTGTAATAATTATAATATTAAAATGATTTCAGCCAGTTAGTAAAATTCCCAAATGATTACGCACTTTTAAAGGATCCGGGAGCACAAGGCTCTGTTCTGTTTGCAGGGCGAGAGGGGAGTTTGAGTTCAGGCAGGTCTCGAGAACTCTAACCCCCCTTTATTTCGAGCTAATGACAGATTATAATATGCTACGAAGAGATATACTGCTGGTTAAGAGCTCGACTATAGTGTTAATTTAGATTGATCAATTCACTTATGACACGTTTTTGTATGGTGGGAGGAAATGGGAGAACCCAGGAGAAACCCAGGCAAGCACGGGAAGAACATATAAACTCTGCACAGACATGACAGCAGGCCTGTTGAGGATTTGAACCAGTGACGTTCTTGCAGTGATGCAACAGTGCTAACCACTGGGCCATTGTGCCACCCTATAGAGAGATAGGTGAAAGATAACGGCGAAGATAACTGTAGTAAGAAACTCTGGTTATTTATAGTGAGTTAGGAATCATCGGATTGGTGAATCATGCGTTAGCTAATGCAGGACCAGCTGTGATCAATCATAATCACGTGCTGCTCTGGAAATTAGTATAGAATTAAACTTCACTTCAAACCAAAAAAAAAAAAAAAAAACAAAACATTCACATCTATCGCATTTTATTTCTGTGATCAAACAAATAAAACTGCACTTTGATTCATAAAGTTTTTTACATGAGAAATAAAAGAGTTCACTGCTATTTAAAACCCTTGAGTTAACACCTAACATAAGCTTAAGTGTTGTATTTACTCCATCTTTTGTTCCTCGAAGCAACTGACATTTTTGCATTTATGCTAATCATAGTTCAACATAAAACTACAACCTGATACACACAAAAATACATTTAAGGAATAACGATATATTTATGTAATTCAGAACACTAATTTATTTAACGTAGATCCTTTGTTCCTCAATATGATTAACTCCTTTGCGTTTATGCTGATCGACTCATTATTGTAATTTAAAACTCGCCATAATCAAACACATAAAACCACAACCTGAATCATAAAAATTGACATGTCTAAAGAATAATGAGCCCACTATCATTCCAAACGCTTGAGCTAGCAGCTAACATGCTGAACACATTTAATGACCTTCATTGATTAAGAGTATTGCAGAACGTTGTCACTTGTGAATTTCAGTGTCTGCGCAAACATGTGAAAATATAGCCATTCCTAAATTTCACCTTAGAAAGGAATGCTTACCAAATCCCGTGGAGAACTGAACCTGCTCTAACAACTTTGCAGTTGGCAGACAATGTTTTTTTCCCTCACTCTGTTGTCTCTAGTGTCATCCACCGTGGTCTTTTTTCAAGTACTGCAGGTGGAAGTGTCTATAAATGGATTCTGGAAAACAGTCGGCACCGGTTTGTGCTTCAGGCAGAGCTTGTTTACAGAACGTAAAATATGATAATGTTCTTGGCCAGTTTCCCTAGTGGTATCTGAGATGATAGGGCTGCGATTTCAATTGACATCCTCAACCGAACATCAATCATTCAGATTTTACAAAGAAATGATTGCTGCTATACCAAAGAAATAGCAATATTATGTTAATGTAGCCAGTGCTGAAGCCCGGGATTTACCTCAGCTTGAGCGTCTCTGAAAACAACTTCATGCACTATCATGATTGATTAATCTTGCTAGGTGTCTCGAAGCCCTCTAGACAGTTGATAGCATCCCCTTGAGCGTCAGGACTGTCTTGTGTTCGGCATCTGTCAGGATCTGTATTCCCCTGCTTGTAGCAACACATCCTGCGAAGGACAAATTAATTAGCTGGTGCAAATGCTAGCAGATGGCTTTGAAGGACACTCGCTCTACCTCAGGAGATGCGCAGAATTTGCGTGGATTCCCCAGATCGCACATCTTCCGATTCTGTCGCGTGTCCACCCCTGAAGTACGTACTTGGGGAAAAACCGTCTGCTGCCGTTTCACCATTCAATTTTTCAAAGGAAAATCTGTTATTTGCAATAATATGAACCCGGCGAGGAGGATAAGAAAAGATTAATTAATTAATTAAAGATTAATTCGACATCATTACAAAGCTGTGGTTGGAACCGAAAGCGGCACGATCTGGCGCGGCCTGCTTTCACTTCCAACCGCAATTACAAATAATCAGTCCAATCAGTATGCTAATCTCTGGTGTTCAAACCGACGATTCATCAGAGTCGCTAATTCGCCGGCTGTCTCAGGTCTTTTATTTTGCCCTCTTTTCTGCAAATGTGATAACGGGGTTAACATTATCGGTGCCTTATCAGGCCCGCGGCAAGCACAATGGAACCAGTCCGGATCTGAATGAGCTGAAAAGGTGGCAGAGACGACAGCCATTGTGATTTTTTTTTTTTTTTGTCACCGCATGGCTGATAAAGAGAGTCTGTGAGGAGAACGAACGGAGAGGCCTATCAATTATGGCTCAATTGTTTCCTATTCATTTATAATTTAATGAGGGTGGAGATGCTAGCATAGTAGTGCATAGTATGGAAACAAAGGACTATGTATTAGTATCTTGGCACAAGTGAACACAGAAAGCTTCTCAAGACTTATTGTTTGTGCGCTTGAGTCAATCGCATTGGGGAACAAAAGAGCTACAGTAAATGCTGATGCTAGTGGTCTTAAGTCTTTTGAATGGCAGTGAGTTCATTATTCTTTGAACATTTGAAGCTAAGCTGTGTGTTAGCTGCTAATTCAAGACTTTTAATTCAAGGATTTTTCATTTGATCTGTTTTTAATCTGTATGTTTTAGACAAATTGAAGCTAAACTATGTGTTAGCCATTATTCAAGACTTTTGACTCAAGGATTTAGCTTTTTATCTCTTTATAATTTGTATTTTTGGAGATTTGAAGCTAAGCTTTGTGTTAGCTGCTAATTCAAGACTTTTGACTTAAAGATTTTTCTTTTTATCTGTTTTTAATCTGTATTTTTGGAATATTTAAAGCTAAGATATGTGTTAGCTGTTACTTCAAGACTTTTAATTTAAGGATTTTTCTTTTTATCTGTTTTTAATCTGTGTTTTTGGAATATTCAAAGCTAAGATATGTGTTAGCTGTTACTTCAAGACTTTTAATTCAAGGATTTTTCTTTTTATCTGTTTTTAATCTGTATTTTTTAGGCAAATTGATGCTAAACTATGTGTTAGCTATTATTAAAGACTATTGACTCAAGGATTTAGCTTTTTATTTGTTTATAATTTGTATTTTTTGGAACAGTTGAAGCTAAGCTACATGTTAGCTGCTAATTCAAGACTTTTGACTCAAGGATTTTTATTTTTATCTGTTTTTAATCTGTAATTTTGGAATATTTGAAGCTAAGCTATGTGTTAGCTATTAATTCAAGACTTTTATTCAAGGATTTTTCTTTTTTATCTGTTTATAATTTCATGAAGCTGTGATTCTGCTGCTAGATTGTGGGTTCGTCATCTACAGGAAATAGAAAGCTAAGTCAACGATAGCTAATACCTCAAGTGTTTCAATACTAGTGAATTCTCACTTCTCAAGTTGAGGTCTTATCAGTTTTACCTAACTTGTCTAAAATTAGCTGAAGTTGAAGTTTCCACCATCAAATAAAAAAGTTTATCAGCATAAGCACAGAAGCAGCCACAATGAGAAACGAAAGACTACGCTAATGCTAACCGCTAACTGAAGAGTTTGGAACAGCAGTGAGTTCATTCTTTCCCACTATTGTGGCTTTATCTGTTTGTAATCTGTCGTGTCTAAAATATGGTGAAGCTGTGGTTCCTGGTGCCAAATTATGATGAAGTTTATCAGCATAACAACAAAGGAGGCGTAATTATTCTCATACAGTGATTAAGGTTTAGATTTCCCTCAAGGTACCACGAATCATCTCGCACGCGTCTGCACAGATTGCCACAAAGAGCATAAACAGTAAGTCATCAAATGAATTATTGCTTGTGTCTAATTGGAGATGTTCATTTAGAGACAACATCAGCGGAGATGCTTTATTGACACGGGTCCCTGCACAAATCAAAGGTTCAGATAAGGAAATGAACCATTCAGAAGTCATCTGCAAATGACAGATATTCCTCGACGTTGCGGGGGAAAGTGGTGACTGCTGCGTTTTTTTCCCCGCAAAGCAAACGTGACAGTTTAATTACCTTCGCCTAACGTGAAGATGGAAAGGGTCTGAGCTGCTGTGAGAGCACGTGTCCGTTTACAGTGAGGTTTTTTTCTTTTAAATGATCAAATGAATCAAACAAAGGCTCGCCGTTTTGGCAAGCGCAGCACTTTTTGAATCTCATCACTCACATGGATCCACAGCCGAAATCAGGCATCATTAGACTTTGTGTTCACAACACTATTCGTGTTTAAATGATGTTGCTTTTATCAAAGTGCGTTTCGAGGTTTAATGGTTTGTAAACCAGTTGGGGAGTTGATGTTTGTGAAGGTGATAGCAGTGTCCTTCAATGTGATTCAGAGTTATGTTACAGCTCTCATGTGCATATTACCCAACGACATATGTAATACACAGAAGACAATTTGACTTCTCTAATAATAAAATATTCAAATTAGGCTGTACTATATACCTATTTACTTATCCACAAGTGGTTCCAAACCTTTATGAGTTCACTTTTTATGATGAACACAAAATTTATATTTGTTTAAATGTTCAAAAACTGAGACCAATGACTTCCAAGGTAAAAACAATAGCATTATGGAAGTCAGTGGTTACATGTTTATAACATTCTTCAAAATAACTTTTGTGATAAACAGAAGAAAGAAACACAAACAGGTTTGTGGCAAGTGAAGGTTGAGCTAATGATGACAGAACTTTCCATTATGGGTGAATCGCTTTAAAGGAACTACTACACACTTTAAACTGCGGCCACACTACGAGCGACTCGCAGCGGTAAAGCAAGAAGCAATCCAGTGTTGCCAGATTGGAAATGTCAAAGTATCATACCGGAACCTAAAAATTATAGTATTTGGAGGAAAATTATTGTACACGAGTCAAACAGAGAGCAAACAGCTATTATTTAGACAAATATCGGACATAACATACAAATTACCACCATACGTTAAAAAAATAAATAAATAAATAGGCATACCTTAAAGCAGGGGTGGCCAACCCTGTTCCTGCAGAGCCACCTTCCTGCAGATTTCAGTTGCAACCCATATCAAACACACCTGCCTGTAATTATCACGTGGTGTTCAGGTCCTAATTAATTGGTTCAGGTGTGTTTGATATGGGTAGCAACTGAAATCTGCAGGAAGGTGGCTCTTCGGGAACAGGGTTGGCCACTCCTGCCTTAAGAGTCGCTGTCATCGAATGTTGAGGGATTCATATAGCGGTACAAATTGGATGCCGTCATGGACCACAACATAGCAGTGCACCCTCCCAATTCTTTTCCACACTCTGAGGTGTGCACAAGCTCATTTAGAGTACCTGTAATGAGCCGTGGCCTTGTTTTGATAAGATTAACATAGGAAAAACAAATTCATATGACACATTTAAAAGGGGAAAAATGAGAACAAGTGCAAATTCCCCTGTCCTTCTCACCTTCCTTTTCAGCATTCATTTTTTTTACTTTATTACTTAAACGATCAACCTCAACCTGAAAACTACTAACCTAAGCACAGCCATCCACAGCCTGAATGTTAACTCGTGAGAGAGAGCCATTCTCTAAGTTGATTGGCTGAGAAAATGTAACGTAAGATATAAACATATTTAACTCCACGTTCTCCTCCCAGACAGTGGACAAAAGATGTAACTAGATCAATAGCTATAGAAGCCCTAAAATCACAATGAAAATCATTTTAAATGGCATAAAATTCTGAAATGATCATACATTGAAGTATTTCTTTCATTATTGATCGTACAAATGCAATGATTGTCGTATGTCTGGCAACACTGAAAGCGACCGCTCATTTTATCAGAGAGTGAGCGACTTCCAGCAACCTCCATCTAGGTGAGCGACATCGATCGTTGATGACCAGGTGGGCATGTCAAGCGACGCAACAAAGTTAAAAATCCTTCAACTTTATGCAACTTTAGTCGACTTTCTTGAGCGACAGTTAAAAGGAGCACCAGTAGAGCTCACAGGATCCTCTTTAAACTTCTGAAAAGGCCACAGACCTGCGTTTGCAGCAGATCACCACCCAGAGCACAGGCAGCTACAAAGTGGCTGCTAGTGTGAATGAGGCATTAGAGGTAAATGTACATTCAGGGAAGACATAGTAAATGACAATTGTTTCCTAGGAAACTCCATGAAATATATTTGTATATGTTTTATATTATTTAAATACTGTAATATATAATACCCCTGTTGCATAAAACATTTCCCCGAGTAATTGGTGGTTTATTCCGCTGTGGCGACCCCTGATTGATTCAGGGACTCAGCTGAAAGATAGTGAGTGAGATATATATATATATATATATATATATATATATATATATATATATATATATATATATATATATAAATGATTTCTTGTAATCTTGTTTATATGACATTTTCCTCTTTTTCTTTCCTTTTTTTTTCTCCCAACTCTAACTTACAGCCAGTCACGAAGCAAAGCAAAAGTTATATAACCTGTCAGACGTACTGTCTCTCAGCCCTATATAACTCAGATCAAAGTGTGTTTATCTGAAGAGATCCTTGCCATAAAAAATGACCCTAATGTCTTTTTTAACCTAAAATAATTAACATTAACATATCCAAATGAAAGTGATGGCGGGTTTCCTGCAGACTTTTAATCTCATTACAGTAGGTTCTCTTCATTGACATCCACTCAACTAATGATTTGAATCGCTCTATGTGCGAGGACAGCTGACTGACATGTTTTGCCACTTTGAAGCCCATGGGTTGGGTTTTGCTTTCATTTCCTGAATGAGATTTTCTCTCATTTTATTTTTGTGGAGTCTCACCCCTGTGGACATCTGCATCCAGCTCACTGGGCTTCTTTATCAGGGAAAAGAGTTCAAACTGAATCGATACAGCACACAATGAAGTGGACTTGAGCTTAAATTGGCTCACTTGGGAGACAGAAGCCGTCTCTTGCTCCACATACAGTAAGGATAGACGACTATTCAGGTCACTATAAGCGCATATATTCATTCAGTAGCGTGGTGATGAATACTGACATTTCTGAGGCACGTCACTGGAAATGGCTTCATCACGGATGCGTTTCTTGTAGAATAAGAGTGCTTTCTGCAGTATGATGCAGGTTTGTGTGTTACCAATTACTTTTTCGCTGTTTGTTGTTTCTTGTTCCGCCATGATAATTGTGTCCACCTGGGTCTTGTTTGGTTTAACTGAATAATCTGATGCGTCTTTAATAATTACTTATCCTTGTTTTTATGCACATGATGTTTGGGAAATCCTTGTTTCTCCTTGTTTTTATTTTAAAATCCCTTAGAATTATTTAATGTAAAATATTATTGTTATTAAAAAGTTTACACATGTATCTTTGTCACTTTTACTAAAATAGTTCCTGGGATTTTTTTTTTTGCAATTGTTAGTTGTAAGGTTGAATTTTATTTATTTTCTTAACAAATGTCTTAAGTGCCCCCTTTTTACTATATACGAACATTTTGTTACTGGAAACTATGACCTCTGGTGTGACGCTATATGCTGATTTTAAATCGGCAACTTTACTGAAAGCTTTAATAAGTTGAAGGACTCTATTTAAGATCATGTGACTGAATCCCACTGTGAAGTTTTTATCTTTCACATATTTTTGCAACTTTTTTGGAACTACTAAAATTGCAACTCTTTGATGTCCATTGGTGGACAAAAATTTTTTGGCGAAAACAATATTATTCAGAATTTTAAATAAAATGAATAGGATTATATGAAGTGTCCAACAATAAAGATGGTGCATCGTGTTCACTCTATTTGTGTATTATTAGGAGTTGTTTTATCTACTATATATATATAAGCTGTGAAAGAATTGATAAAGTTAGTGACCCTTTATATCTTCTCAAACTTTAAACTACATAAATAAAGAATCAACAAAATTAGTGTTTTTTGTCACTTTTAAGGCAGAGAATAAATTATTCTTATTTACTTTAAAGTGAAATACCTTAACATAAACCAAAGAGGCCAATAAAAATGTTCTGTTTCGTTGGAAATTTTCAGTATTCCAGTAAATTCCAGTATTTAGGAACGACAAACAATAACTTGACTTCTAGTTGATCATTTAGTATCAGAAGTGGCTTATATAAAAGGCAAAGGCCTCCAGATTCTGATTATTTTACCAAAAGAAAATATGATCATTCCTTGACGAAAGTCTTGAAACCTAACAGAAATAATTTACAGTATAGAATATTAAGTCATGGTGTAGTGGACAAAGAATTAATATTGTGTATTGACTCACATGAGCTAGGAAGACTGCATCCACACTTTTGTGACTCAATTAACTTATTAATAAAGTCATCTGGAATGGCAAAGTAAGTGTTCTTGCAGGACTCCCAGAGTTCATCAAGATTCTTTGGATTCATCTTCAATGTTTCCTCCTTCATGTTACCCCAGACATGCTCAATAATGTTCATATCTGGTGACTGGGCTGGCCAATCCTGGAGCACCTTGACCTTGTTTACTTTCAGGAACTTTGATGTGGAGGCTGAAGTATGAGGAGTGCTATCCTGGGGAGGAATTTGCCCTCTCCTGTGGTTTGTAATGTAATGGGCAGCACAGATGTCTTATACCTCAGGCTGTTAATGCTGTCATCCACTCTGCAGATCTCTCGCAGACCCCCATACTGAATGAAACCCCAAAACATGATTTTTCCTCACAAAACTTGACTGAGTCTGTGAGAATCTTGGGTCCATGCGGGTTGCAATTGGTCTTCTGCAATATTAGTCATGATTGTGATGCAGTTCAACAGATGATTCATCTAAAAAATCCACCTTCTGCCACTTTTCCAAATGATCAACTAGAAGTCGAGTTATTATTTGTTGCTCTTACAACTGGGATCGACGACAAGATTTTTGTCAGATAGTGTGTATATATATATAAATATATATACACACACAACAAACAAACAAGAGGCCCCTGTAAACTTTAATTTGACTCAATATAAAGGATCAATACTTTTAACATCTATAAAGCAAAATTACTTTTCAGTTAAACAGTTTGAAGCGACTTTGTGCCACATTGACTTACATTACATGGACTATTTTCAATTTAGTTTGTACCAGAACGAAATCGAGTAACCGCTGTCAACGCTTTCATTTTAGCATTCTTTTAAAACTGTGACACTATGAAAATAGCACGGGTAAATTCCCAGCATAATGTTGATACCAGTCCTGAAAAAAGCATTTCAAGCTTCACAGTGTTTTTGTGCCTTCCAAATTGAACACAAATGCATAAATAAGCAAGCGGGAAAAGCAGCGGCTCATTTATTCCTCTTGGTGTGTGTACCTGTTTTCACAGACGCCGCTCTTCCATTGATCAGACGCCACATTGGCTGTGTTTGCAGACTCGGACCCCTCGAGCGCCAGCACAATGGAGACGGTTCGTGTGCCAGGTAATTGGCGTCTATGGGGGACAGGTGCTCCCACAATGCATTGGGGCTCAGTGCCGGGTCTCCTTTCACATGGCTGTAATTACCTAATTGAAAAGCTCACTGGGGGGAAATAGAAGCGAGAGATAAGGTCCTTTTCACTGCTTTTTTTGTGTGGCTGAAAAAAACATCTATTTGTTGCCACTTGAGGTAAATATTGTCCAAGGGAGAAATGATGGAAGGGAAAGCAAAGATAGAGGATCCATTGTGAACCAGGGGCCGATTCAGAGAGCCGCTGTTTGATGGAGGACACACAAGATGAGCAAATGGACAATAGACTGAATGATTTCTTTAGTTTTAGCCTCTATGTTCATGCCCTGTCCGTGAACTGCTGTGATAAAAGCGTAGAATGGTTTATTACTGAAGTATGCTTTGCATAAGTTAATGTTTGCTTACTTAATGCACTTTTCTGGTCTTAAAATAAATAAATATTTGGAATAAGTTCAATATATTGAACTTATTTTTATAGTTTTATATATCACTCTATTATGTATTATATAATAGATGTTTGCAAGTTTGCATTATTGCGAGTTGATGGTTAAAATAAATAAATGCATAAGTTACTCACTTGCCACTTTATTAGGTATACCTTACTAGTACCGGGTTGGACCCCCTTTTGCCTACATAACTACCTTATTTCTTTATGGTATAGATGCAACATGGTACTGGAAATATTCCTGCAAAAGTTTGGCCCAAATTGACATGATAGCATCAAGCAGTTGCTGCAGATTTGTTGCCTGCACATCCATGATCCACAACATCCCAATGCTGCTCTATTAGATTGAGTTCTGGTGACTGTGGAGGCCATTTGAGTACAGTGAACTCATTGTCATGTTCAAGAAAACAATCTGAACATGACAATGAGTTCACTGTACTCAAATGGCCTCCACAGTCACCACATCTCAATCCAGTAGTGCACCTTTAGGATGTGGTATAAAGGGAGATTTGCATCATGAATGTGCAGCCGACAAATCTGCTGCAACTGCGTGAAGCTATCATGTCAATATGGACCAAAATCTCTAAGAAATATTTCCAGTACCTTGTTGAATGTATGCCACAAAAGATTAAGGCAGTTCTGAAGGCGAAAGCGGGTCCAACACAGTATTAGTGAGGTGTACCTAATAAAGTGGCCGGTGAGGGAGTGTATACATAAATAAACAGCATTATCCTCTAGTGAGTCTGTGTACATAATGATTATTTTCATGAACAAGATGAATGCATCAATGAACCTTTAAAGATATATAAATCCTCACTAATTTCTCCTTTAGATGTTGGAATATCGATTCCAAATATCATGATGATCAGACAAGAGAAGACCACCTGCAGACCCTCATTACCGCTGGATGAAGTCTAGCCTTTGACCTGTAAATCTGCTTCACACAGGAGGATTTTCTGCCACATTCATCCATGAGATGTGAGTATGAGCATGCCATTAATCTACATAATGTGTCTTATAAGACACAGATTTCTGATCCTTCAGACTGACTGTATGCAGGTTTTTGCATGGATTAGAAGTGAAAGCCTTTTTCTATCATTATTAACACCTACTACTGCTTTAATGGCTCACATATAATGATATTTTAATCGATGATCCCATTAGAGATTTTCCTTGGGTCATTTCCTCCTTTTTGTGTGGTTCAAGAGCTTTAAGTAGCGATATAAATTATCTAAAATGTTCACTTTGAGAATAAAGAAAGAGTTAGCCTGTAATGAGATGATATTATTGGCAAGTGGTTCAGTATTTACTGGTGTGTGTCTGTGAGTGTGATGTGATCAAAAGGCTGAATCATTGCTGCACCCTGCTGGAGGAAAACTGTTACTTGTTTAACACAAAAAAGTGCAATTTAGATTTTGTAATGCTGTCCATTTAACATAAGTTAACCCTCAAATGCATTTATTTAATAGCATTGAAAGTTTAGAATCAGGTGCCCTTTATTTATTTTATAACGTTCAGTTACATCTTCATATCAAGTGTTTTATTTCTAACTGAATGCTTCATATTTTAAATATAATGAAGTTGAACTTTAAACGCATTATGCAGTTATAATGTAATCTATTTCTAAGTACAACAGCATATTCATAAAATTAAAATAAAGATTTGTATTATGTACTATTATAGTATATACAGCAGGAAAAAAAAGAATTGAACACATCACCGTTTTTCTCAGAAAGCATATTTCTAAAGGTGTCATTGACTTGAAACTTTCCCTGGAACCAAAAGAATCTATATATGCAAAGAAAACAGATCTGATTAGTTGACAAATGAAGTTATGTGTAAGAAAATGAAATAACGCAGGGAAAAAGTATTGAACACATGAAGAAAGAAAGGTGTAGAAAGGCAGTGAAAGCCCAGACTACAGCTGAAATCTTCCAGTATGTTCTTCAGCAACTCTCTGCCCTTTGTCATTTTAAATTAATATTAGCTGCTTTAGTCCATCATCTACATTATCAGGATGATGAAGATGAAACCCGGGTGGACATTTCAGCAAGATGATGATCCAAAACACAGTAAACTCTCAAATGCTTTCAGAGAAAGAAAATCAAGCTGTGGAATAGCCTAACCAATCACTTGACTTGAATCCAATATAAAATACACATTAAAGATCAGATTTGATAGACGAGACGAGTTCAGTACTTTCTCCTTGTGTCGTTTCATTGTTATTACACATAACACATTTTTCAGATTTGTTTTGTTTTATTTTTATGTGTGTATTGTTTGGGTTTTCAATACAAATTCTGGTTCAATTCCATGTCAACAGCTCATTTAGAAATATTACTCACAGGAAAAAACATGATGTGTTCAATACTTATTTTCTCCGCTGTATGTGTATATTACACTTATTTTAGTAGGTACTAAATACAATACAATCAAGAATATTTACATTAGACTCTCTGGACAGACCGAATGGGTAAAAATGGCTACTAGTGTTGACAAAAGTACTGTATTGATTCCATATTCCATACGTATTGATACTAAATGTATTAAATGGCAGTATGAATACATGCAATGCTCTTACTAAGTTTTACTTTATTTATCCATTTATTCAGTGGCTCATTCGACAGGTTATGCTGTAAATTTTGTTAATTTTTTATTAGTTTAAAGATGCGATAGAAAAAGAAACACAAATTCTGTATAATCAGGAAAAATACAATCAAGAATATATATATTTTCTTAAAGAAAATGACTTGTTTTGAAGTTTGAAATTAGTTTATATATCATTTTTCTTTTTCATTTAACACAATTTGCACAATTTAAATTTGTAGCATTTGTAATTGTTATTACTTTTTATTGTATACATAGTTTTACATATTTGGTTTAAGTAAAATTAAATATTTTTATTAAATTAGAGCAACGTCATTAGATTTAAATCTTAAGCATTTATCTAAAAATGTATCTATTTTTATTTTTTCCCCCTCCATAGCTCGCTCAAATACACTTTTCTGCTTTTCTCCTTCTGTTTTAAACGATTAGCCAATGTTCATAGGGTTTAAATCTGATACGTTTTTTATTTCATATGAAAATAACGTGACAAACAAATATACAAACACATATTTACATTTTCAAGTATCTCCAGATTCATGCCATAACACTATGAAACAATCATAAAAGTAGTCAATATGGTTTGTGTGCAACAGTATTTTTGGATCAAAAGTCTTTAGACATCCTTTGTATAAGACAAAATTTGCCTCCTGTTTCTGGAGAGGAAGCTATACAGACTTTGAATGATGTTAAGGCTAATAAATAGTTCCATTTTTAATATGTGCGATCTTATAACAAAGTAAAAAAATTGAATGAAGAAATAATTTTCCTTGAGAAAAATCCCAGTAGATGTGCATTTCATCATTCAACCCCGTCCTTCATCATCTTTGAGTTTTCCAACTGAACATTCAGAGCTCACATTGCGGCAGAGCGGCTCATGTCCAGTTTCCGAGATTATATTTCAGCCATCATTCACCTACCATGACAGAATCACGTCTCAGTCACCTGGTGGAGTCGCTCTCTGGAGCCTCCTGACAGACTTTTGGAGTCCCGTGGTGAAGAAATGACTCGCTTTACCACAGTATGTGTGTGTCGTTTCATTCAGCGCCACTTCCAGCCGTGACAGCAGTGACTGTCTGAGATCCTCGCCAAATGTGTACTGCAAAAACAGTCATTTATTAGCTGTGGACAGGCCGAATGGCTAAAAATAGCTACTAGTGTTGTCAAAAAGTGCTGATATTTGTGAGTATTGATAATAAATGATAGAATATTGCTTTTTTTGCAGTATGGATACATGCAGTGTGTGAATTGTACATTGACGATCAAGGATCAACATATTTCGGTTAGTTTCTGTAATACATGCTTCAGTCATTTATGGATTTATTTTTTAATTGCTTCTAGCAATTAACAGCATTTTGAGGGATATTAAGTGTATTCTGACCTACAGTATTCTCTGATTAGCTATTTCAGATGGTACTGTAGGTCAGACTACAAACGTTATTAAGCATCTAATTTGACTTTACTTTCAGGCTAAATGTAGATCCAAACAACTATTTTTCTAGAAAACGAAGTCTCGTGAACACAAAGTCTATCAGTCCTGTAGATCTCCCAATTGTAGACTTTTTCCTCTAATATACTGATTGGTGGTCAAATGTATTTTTATATCATCTATTATTTTAATTATTAATATTTAAAATACATATTAGAGTGAAGTATTTCTCAGTATTAAAGAACTGACCCTCCACACATCTTGTTTTGACATTCTTCAGGGAGGATCAAGCGTTAATTAGGGGGGGTCAACCCCTCCCCATGCTCCCACTAATAAAATAGAATAAAATTAAATAATTTAAACTTCATTTCTGTGGCTCATTTTACAGGTTATGCTGCGAAATACATTAATTTTTAATGTTTCGTCAGTTTAAAGATCAAGCACCTGATGTGATAGGAAAAGAAACACAAATTCTGAATTCTCTACATGATCATTTGCTTAAATGGATTACTAAATATGTCAAATAAGTAAAAAAACACATGTTCAGAATCATTCAGAAAGTCTGTTCTGTCTAAAAGTGAAAGTAATCAGCTGTGTTAAAGTGACATTTGTGTTATAATTTGCTAATTACTGACATTTCACTTGTTTTCAACGATGCTTTACATTTTATATAAGTTAGGGTTGCAGTTTCTTCTATAATGTTAGAGAATTGTGAAATTTATTAAAATGCTGATTGGCATAACTTATTTGAATGTTACATGGTTCAAAATAGGGCTGCACAATATATTGTTTCAGAATCGATATCGCAATGTGCACATCTGCAATTGTCCCATTGCAAAATATGCCATTTTGTATCTGAATTATAGTTGATCGGGAGCTACAGGATTGTATTTAATTACTGTTTTTATACTAAATTTATACGATTTTAGAAGTTCTTTCTATGTTTTCTCACATAGAATTTTGTATTGTTTCTAGTTCAAATATCTAAATTTTAAATTAAAAACATAATGTAAAATTTAATAATGAATATTTCACTAACCCCACTGGTAGATAATTTTACTTGTTTTACGGGAAAAACTCTTCTGAACTTTCTTCTGAAGTTGAAAACTTCTTACTTGATCTAAGAATGTTTAGATATTTGGACTAGAAACAAGACAAAGCAAGGTAATGAAAGTATGTTTTGCCTTGTGATTATTCAATTTCTCTACCTGAATACTGTTAGACTTCCCAGAAAACCATCAAATAGTGCTATTCAAACCCTCTTGTGAAACTGTATTCATATCTCAATATTTCGGGTTCATACACATTTTTGCTACTAAAATTCCATGACTTTTTCAAGACTTTCAAGTAAATTTTCATGACCTAATGTTTCATGCAATGTCTACACATGTGGTAAAAGAAAAACAATGCATGTTCAAATTTATTACAGAATATCTTAAAACAGAACAATCTATTTAGTTTTGATTTATGTTTATATCTATGTAAAAATTATTAGATAAGGCTTTAACCGCACCAATAATGTGAGAGTATGTGATTGGCCAAAGACAGAATAGAAGTAAATAACCTATATTCAAGTATACAGATATGTATTTTCCATGACTTTTTCAAAACTTTGTGGGTTTTTCTGTTTCTACAAAACTTTGAGGCCTGGAAAATGCTATGTCAGAATTCCATGACTTCTCTAGGTATTCCATGACCGCATTAACCTGAATATTTTTTGCAGAAAAATAAAATATCGCAAAGTCAGATTTTTCCATTTTTTTGTGCAGCCCTATCGAAACAAAGAAAACAACAAATATTTAAATAATTAATTTTCATTTATAAAGTAAAAACTGAAAAAGTAGACCACTGAGCCATTTTATTAAGCTTTTAACTCAAAATGAAAATAGAAAGAAATAAAAATGTGCATGAATACTGTAAACTGAATAATGCGGAGGCTATATGTCCCTATGGTACAGAAAACTGTATTGATTATCGGTATTTTTTAAGTATTAGAAATTCCAGCATTGTGACAACACTAATAGCTACTAACAGTACTCCTCTGAATAAACTAATCACCTGTTCGAAAGCCTCATACACGGCTCTGAAGGCAGGCTGTTTGTCGCTGTGAAACACTCCTCTGTTTCCGTGAAGCACGAAAACACCCTCGTCTTCAGCAGGAGCGCAGTTGCTGCCATAGATGCAGTGATCGGGACGGTAGTTCCAGTGGCAGGGCAATGTATATACCATTTCTGGATGAAGACGCATGTCTGTTATTGAGACTTAAATGGCAGTTACAGATCAAGAAAAGAACATCCAGAAAAAAAAAGTACCTGGATTGTAATGGAAGATGATGTTAATGAGGTCTTGGTCACCCCAGGTGATGTTAAGCTTGTATTTTTGTAATAAAGGCATCAGGAGCTCATCCCAATGTAGACCAACAGGGGTCATGTCATTCTGTACATGGAGAAAAGGGAAAAAGAGCTGAACTTCATTCACAAGCCAAGAAAAAAAAAGGGAGTTTTGCCTCCCTCTTCTGGACTAAATTAGAATTACATGTTCAAATCCTATTAAAATAGTTCAAAAAGATGGTTCTCTTTCATATTGTTATTTTTATTATCACTGTATTTTCCTTTCTTTCCTGCCCATTGAATATTTGGTATGTGTGTGTATTACTTAAAAATACTACTACTAATAATTCCACTAATAATATTGTAATTTAATAAATAATGCGATTATAACTATCAGAGGAAATGATTTATGGGCACTAAATCATCCTGTTAGAATGATTTCTGGAAAAATGTGTCATTCTGATGGGAAAATTCAGCTTTGCACCAGAGAATTTACATTTTAAAATATACTCAAATAATTATTAATCTAAAATATACTAGGTTATATGAGCACAAGATATTATTAGATATTTTTGGCCACCATGAAGTTTAAAATTGTAACAAAAGATGTCGCATAGAATTTAAATGATTGGTCAAAAAATCAATTGCCCATTAAGCAAAATGCTGTTAAAACAAAGAACAGCTTTTCCCTAGACCTCACATAATCCCTCTTAAAATCTCACCTTGAATTGTGTGATTCGCATCCGGGTCAAGTTCATCAGCATGACGCCAGAGTTGATGCCCATTTTCCCATAATAGGGATGCCAGGAGAAGCGACTGTACCAGGCGATTCTGGGCTCCTCGTGTTCTGGAGCCATTGCTATTAACTGTGTGGAGTTAAAGAGCATCAGCATGTCCCAGATCAGCTCTACAGGCTGCAGGAAGAGCACATCTGTGTCCACATACAGCAAGGAGTCCAGTTCCCTCAGAATCATCTGTACACAGAAAAAAAGGTGACATATTATCTGAATATTTTCAGAAAGATTCTGCTTTTTAAAATGAGACCATGACTTCTTAAAAAAAGAGTTGTAAGCAATTTATGCATTGTTTTTTTTTACTTTTCAAAAAGTAAAGCAAAACATTATGTAATAACTGTAACCTTTTCAAATATACTGAATGATTAATCAAGCAAAATATATATTTATATGTGAATAATAATATTAATAATATATATATATATATATATATATATATATATATATATATATATATATATATATATATATATATATATATATATATATATAATATTAAAGCTTTAAAATATTTCCATTGTAATAATATTTGCTTTGTTATCTTTATATTTTATATTGTTGTATTAATTATTAGATAATTATATAATTTGTTTTTTTCCCTTCTACTGTTTTAGGTTTTAATGTATATAAATAAAGATGACAAAAAACAGCTTTCGCTGAAAATAGCTGCACAGCATAATCTAAACATGAAGTTAAATCAAAAGAAAGTTACAGGGTGAATAAAAGACATAGAAGTTTTCACGATACATTATTTGTATTACAAGTTTTATAAATTGTTATGTTTAAATAAGCAAATGATGCATCCTTTGCATACACTTCACTCCATAATTCAGAATACATTCCAAACAGCCATGGAGGAAATAGAAAATGTAATTATTGGTAAAATCAAATGTTTGCTTTAATTATGCATTATTTGTATTAACTTGTCCCTCAAAAAAAACAAAAACAAAAAAAAACACGAATTATTAGCTTGATCAGTACCGAAGCCAAATCTGGACCTTATTTAACAAAATAACCTACAATAATGGTTCAAAAATTTGTAACCCAAATGTATATGTTAGGTAAAAATATTAAATAAAAACTTTAAAAATAGCAAAAATTAAGAGAAACAAAAATACATACAATTTTGTTAAAATGTTGTAGTTTGTAATTTTTTTTGCAATGTTATGCATGAATTTAAATGTATTATCCTTCTAGTTCTAAAGATGTTCTGAAGCTAAAATATTATTTTAATAAATATATGTTTAATAAATCTGTTTTGTTTAAATGCACCAATATATATTACTCATATTCACTGAGAAATGGATAAAAATAATTCTTATCAAAATGGGGTGGACTCATTTATGCTGAGCACTGTACATACAAACAAGGTCTTCATTATTATTAATATTTGGAACATGTCACTTTAGGGGCTTTGTAGAATTTAGATATTAATAAAACAAATAAGGTTTTGTGTGTTAAACTCAAGTGGAGATTTATGGCTCAGTGCATGAGAAAAAAATCTGCATTATAAATGAAGTCCAGACACAAAAAAGTGTGATTTGAATAGATTTCTTTATTTTCTCTGTGTAATGCAAAGAAAACCTTTGACAGGTGCATGAAAACCAGTGTTTTTACCTGCAGTGTGTCTCCTTAAATAGTTGCAGAAATACTCACGGGCAGGAAGAGTCTCTGTGAAGCACACGGTTTGAAAAGCTGACTCCACTCTTCATGGTGCTCATGGGGGAATGAAATGGGGTGAAGAACATAGCTGAATTTCCCTTGGATGAAAGCCGGCCAGGAATCCAGCTGTACAAGAGGAAAAATGGATTGGCAAAGGGTAAATCTTTCATCTCCTTACTGTTTCTCAATGCCTTAGCAGCAGATTACAGTGCACAGAGTTCACAGAGAAACTTTTTACCATCTGAAATGACACGTTTAACATTGCTAAAATGTGTTCCTGCCCCCCTTTGAATTATTTTTCTTTTTAAAATATTTCCCAAATGATGTTCAACAGAGCAAAGAGATTTTCACAGTATGTCTGGTAATATTTTTCTCTTGGAGAAAGTCTTTGTTTTATTTAAGGTCAAAATTATAAGCCCCTGTTAGCTATATTTTTTTCGATAGTCTACAGAACAAACCATTGTTATACAATAACTTGCCTAATTACCCTAACCTGCCTAGTTACCCTAATTAACCTAGTTAAGCCTTTAAATGTCACTTTAAGCTGTATAGAAGTGTCTTGAAGAATATCTAGTTAAATATTATTAACTGTCATTATGGCAAATATCAAATAAATCAGTTATTAGAAACGAGTTATTAAAACTATTATGTTTAGAAGTGGGGTGTAAAAGAATATTCTCTCCGTTAAACAGAAGTTGGGGAAAAAATAAACAGCGGGGCTAATAAATCAGGGGGGCTAATAATTCTGTCTTTAACGTAGTGAAAGTAAAAGCATTTATTATGGAAAACAATATATTATATTTCAAATAAATGCTGTTGTTTTGAATTTTCTTTTCATCAAAGAATCCTAAAATGCATAAAGATCAGCTTTTAATCACAGGATTAAATTACTTTAATAATTTTGTATCCAGGATTTCCACCTTTTTAATGCATAGGACAGTAGAGAGTATTGACAGCAGAGACAGGGGAAAGATCGGCATAGGACCTTGAGACGGGAATTGAACTGTGAGCAGCGGAGTGCATGTGTCAACACACTACCCACTACACCAATGGCGCCATCAATACATCACTATTTAAACTACATTCAGTCAGAAAAACATTATTACACATTGTTATAATAATTCACAATTTGACAGTTTTACTGTATTTTCAATCAAAACAGAACAAGCAGAATAGACTTCTTTTAAAGCCATTAAAAAAAAGCTTGCGGATCTGACATATTTGACTGATAATGTAAATGTATGCATGTCAGAATTGACAGTGGCTCCTACTAACATCTGCTTTAATGCTGGTTTGTAACTGTTGCTCTGCAAAGATGTGAAATCTCAAGGCTCTTTGGCTGAGCGTGACTGCAGTCTTCAGCATGTTGACCACTTCTCCGTGTCTCTCTCCACAGGCCACCGCTGCCAGATGCATCAGTACCTCCTCCTGGACAGGTGAGTTCGGATTCTGGACAACATCTCTGTAAACACCAGATGTTTTTATGTGTACACTAAAATATACATACAGTACATTACTTGAGTAAAAGTGTGTAAATTTATATTTATTCAGTTTTTAGATTAATATCAGTAATATTATTGACTAATATGAAAATGTTCAAATGATTTGTTTAAAATACAGTTTGTAAAGTAATATTTTCTGTCTTTTAGTAGATATATCACACGAGACTTGCTTTATTTACATTATTATTGATTTGTTTTGTAAACATTAAACAAAAGTTTAAAAGGTAGTATTTTTTATTTCACATATTACGTTTTTAGTTATGATACTACCAAAAGCATTCCACATAAATATGCAGATTTTTTTTTTAATTCTGCGCAAAAATAAGACAAAATGTCCGCAGATTGTGTCTGGCCCTAATGATTGGTGATAAATAGCTAATGAAAGCATTGATGAACGTACACACAGACACACACAGAGATCTCAATAAAGGCTACAACTTTGTTTCCTACAACTGGAAATATTTGAAATACTATTATACCTTCTAATAATCTGCAGTGGTTTTCTTTTTAGTTTTCAAATGTTCATTTGATCAATAATGTGATACAAATATTTTATGTTCAGAAATAGAAATACTTAGTTGTCAGAACAAAAGAAAAAGAGACATTTTTCAACAATGGTCAGTGAAAAGTGTGAAAAACTAAAAGAAACCAAAATTTGATGTAATCGGTTGTTAAATTCTGTTTTTGTTGCAAACATTATTTCCAAACAATATACATTTTTTTGTAATTAAAACTGCTAATTGAAACTTTTAGTTAAACTTGTAATTAACTTGAAATCAAAATGTTTAACTACATTAAAATAAGTGTTTTATTATTTGATTTGCAACTGTTTATAATCATTTGCAAAGCATATTAGATGTTTAATAATGAAAATTAATAATTGCCAATAATTTTAATTTATTTTGGATAAACATCACACACATTTTGTTCTAAATGTAAAACAAATCTCATAAATAAAACGATTGTATGTCTGTAACGAGTCTTTAAATGTGTGTGCATTGATAAGATATTGGGAAATAAGCTGTTTTAATTTTGCAGTTATCTTCTTAACACATTAAAATAAAAATAAAAGAATGAAGTATTTTCCTTTATAACAGTTTATTCAACAAAACACACAATAAACAACTGTTATTAAACATGCCTAAGAAGGAAAAGTGGCATTTCTTGTTTATTTATTTATTTGTGTATTTATTAATTGGTACAACAATGTTCCAAATAAATGGAACGTGCCATCTGTAAGTGTTGTATCTAGTTCAACTTTTAATCATTTATTTTTAATTTATCATTTAAATTTCGTTTTTATTACTTATTTAGGTTCAGGAGTTGAGTGAATGAACTGATCAAATTCACCAAGAGCTGCGTGACCTGTTTGCCTGTATAATATAATCTCGTGATCAGCTGAAACACAGGTGTGTGATAGAGGCGTGATCTCGCAGCTCGTGGTGTTTGTTGTGTTGCATTCACTGCTCGACATCTCAACAACACACTCCTTCACAACCAATCAGGCCAGGTAAGAGAGAACAAGAGTTTCTCGAGTCGGTGTGGAATTACACAGGCTGTTGTCATGAGCATAGCTTCCCTTTGAAGGGAATTTTAAGAGCTTCCTTTTGCAACTTCCTACTGCTTTTGTAAGAATTAATTAGGATAGTTTCTGGATAAATGCAATACAGCTGCAGGATTAACATTTGGATGTCCTATTTCCCCATACTGTGATACAAACACAGCGTATATTTATTTGTCATTGAACTACAAACCTCGTTTTGCATAAAACATCGTACAGACTTCTTAAACACAAAGTTAACCTTTTAAACTGACCTTTTTACAAACAAAATGAGTTTACCGGTGTGATGTGGTCGCGGTGGGTCGTTGTTTTGCTTTTGCTCCATTGAAGCTCTTCTGTTGCAGCGGCGCTCGAACTTGCTTAAATCCAGCTGAAAAACTTCCTTCGTCATGTTTACTGAACAGAAATACCAAAGATAAAAGAGCGACAACTATGCACAAACCAAATGTCCTAAGATATATACGCATTATAGGTGAAAAGTTGAAAAGTGCACACAAGTGTACTCGCCCACTACTGTCCGCTAGTGATGTCCGTTTCCTCAACGAGTCGTTCTATTGAGTCGAATGTTTTCTTTGAATCAGTTGAAGTGATTTACAGAACAAAAACACTTTAATAGTCCAATATTACAAATTCTATCATAATTTATTTAATAAGTTTAAAGATAATTTAGTACTTTTACAATTTAGATGCTAAATATATTTAGATCCTGAGTTGCCAACATCTGAATCGTGGTTATATTATTTATGAGCTTAATCATGGAGGTTACGCACTGAACATTATTATATTAAATAATGATAAATAAAAATGCATTATTCAAAAAACATACCTAATATATATCACCACTAAAACATTTAGAGATGCTAGAAGAGTCTATGGTGATGATGTGTTTACCTCAAAACGAGCTGTTCGAAAGAATCGACTCATCAAAATGATTCAGCATTCATCTCATTAACGACCACCACCATCCCCCCAGATACAAGTTCTTTCCCCAGAAGCGTGGGAAAGACTCTGCTAAGACTCTGCTTGCTAAGACAAACCCTTTCAGGTTATTTATTTATTATTTATTATATATATATATATATATGTTTATATATATATATATATATATATATATATATTATCTTAACGTTATTACAATATTTCTGGTTTTATCTTTAAAAATGATTATACCTTTACCAATATGTAAAAAGACAAAACATTTCTGTATTTCAGTTTGTATTCCCCATGATATAAGTGCAAACTTTGCTGTAAAATAAAATGTAGCATTTACATTTGCAATTTACAACCACAATTTTAAAATGTAAAGTCCATACTATTTTTTTTATTTTATAAGTTGCAAAAATTTATTGATTTAAATTTAAATGTGTGTAAAATGTGGAAGCAGAAATTGTATGATTAAATGTTAAATTTTAATTTCCAATTATATTTACATACTTAAACTAGGATGTAATTTACATATTAAAATTATGGTTGCAAATTACAGAATTTCATTTTCATGTTGCACCAAACTTTGCACACGTCTTGCAAAATGCAAATTGAAAGCCAGAAATACATTGCTTTCCATGCTGCATTGCCGTTTTGCATATGACATTTTCTTTGTTTCTTAAACGTGTCTAAAATATAATTAGGACAAATATTATTTAAAGCATACATTTTGGACGGTACATGCATCAAATTAAACCTGTCTATTATGGTTTCAGTTTAATTTTGCAACTTGTATAGCATTAAAAAATAAAATTAGAATGTAATTTACATTTTAAAACCGCTTTTGAAAATGCCAAATGTAGAGGACATGATTTAATTAAAATTTTGCAACATGTCAGAGAGAATGTAAACTGAAATACAAAAATGTATTGCCATTTTGCTTCTCGTATACTTCCATATTGCAGCCTGCATTTGTACTTGTATTATTAACCATTAGGTGGACAGTAATAACAGAATTTTTTAGTAACTTCTAGTAATATATCAAGTAATAATGGGAGGGTATCAGTTATTAATACATTATTAATACAAGTATCTTTAAAATAGTAACAGGCTTTCTGCAGGTTGTAAAAACATTTCAAGACTACTAGACCTTTTCTGTTTTTTTCAGTGAATATGTAAAAATATTTTTAAATCAATATACATTTACTCTAAAAGCAAAATGATGTTGGTAGGTGATTTGGACCAGCAGTTTAATAGTGACCTAAGTAGTATTTAATAGGTTTATACAGTACTATGTACTTTAATGTTGGAACAGATCCCGACACACGCCGCTAGACAGCACTACTAACTCGGTTTAGTGGTCTTGTGCCCACAGAATATACATTTTCCTGTACTTTAGCAGACTTTTTTTTATTCAACGTGATAAATAAGCTACTAGTCAGTCAGCAATTTGAACTGTTTTAAGGCATTAAATCGTTTAAAGGTCTTTAAATATTAAGCCTAATATACTTTAATATTTCACCCTGAAAAAAATATCAAACATTGCTAAAAAGAGTTTATCACTTTCTCTTCAGCGTAGTCCCTGCATTTAAATAGTTTTAATTAATTAAATTATATATTTTTATACATTTGTAATATCGTCTAAACATTACGAATCTTTCAGGTATTAAATATGAGGTGCTAGGCTGATTAAATGAAGACATAACAGATAACTTGCAGAGGATAATAACAAATATGCATCCTGGCGTTAGTAATAATGTACATAAAGCACACGTTGTAGTCACATGCAATTGTAAAAGCGGAAAAATTGTGCACAGCTGCACGCATTTAAAACGATTTCATAATCTTGCATATTGTCAGCGGCTTCATCATATGTGCACATTATAGGACTACAGGATATCATTATGTTATATACATAGTAGCCTAGGTAGGTAAATACATCCCTGAATGACATCCAGTTACTGCTCCTCCTTGTGCACAATGTTAAACACTAAAGGGGCAAACAATGAGGTCACATGCTTTGATGACGATGAAATAAAACAAGACCCTTTTATCATATTTCTTCTGAAATAAATAAATAAATATTGATTTTAAATATGTTTAGATATTAACAAAATTAACAAGGAGGGTCATTTTTAATTTTAAGCCTTAAAATGTGGAGGAATTAAGACCTTTTTAAGACCCATAAAAAACATGAAGTCTGAATACAATTTGAAGAGCAAATATCAAAAATAACAGCCATACATGTGGAAATGCTTCAGTGTCATGATTAATATTTTAAAATTACCCAAAAGGAGAATAAAGGAACTGGTCTTTGTGGTCTTGTCTATAAGTAAAACTGTCAGCTTTGCATTCCAATTAGATGAAACATTAACATAGATTGAATATTAATAATAACGGTTTACTGCTGTATAAGGCGATGTCAATAAAGAGCTTAAATTAAGACACCGCTACTAGCTGTCAAGTAAGAAACAATACTCTCTCGCTCTCTTTTTTTTTGTCTCCGAATGAAACTGTATGCCATTGTGTCATATCCTGTGGTGGTGACGTAAAACCACAAAACTTTGATGGCTCACTGTGATTATCACCCTCATGTGATTCATATGCATTTCCACACAAAACTGAACCGACCCATTAAACCACACAAATTCCATCACCTTAAAGAGACAGTTCACCCAAAGAAGTCAACTGTTTTATTTACTCTTTCTCCATCTGGTTCCAAATATGTATGAATTTCCTTCTTCTCTTGAATGCAAAATATACTCTTTTGAAGAATATTAGTGAACCATTAGTTGTTGATTAGTTTTCCCAACAATAGAAGTCAGTGGTTAATATCAACAACCTGGTACACAACATTCTTTAAAATAGCTCAACAGAAAAAGAAACTCATACACTTTTAGGTAAATAGTTATTAAATTCAATATTTAGTTAGGTGAATTATTCATTCTGTTCTTTGTTTGCTTTGAAATAAAATAGTTTGGGTGAGGACGGGAGTCTAAATCTTAAATTTTATTAAGAGATATTTCCTATACTGCAATATATTTATATACCACCATTACCATCATAAAGGAAGGGATGAATCATCATCATTACAAATACATTTCTTTCATCTTTTTTAGTCATAAACCTTGTTTCTTGTGGAATTTAACAGAATTATAGAGACAATCTAACATAAAACAGCTGGAAGAACAACTAGCTGAACAAGTGATGCAATCTACCATGACAAGTGTCAAAAAAAAGGCATGAAAGAGAACAAATGAACAAACAATTTCAAGATTTTCTTTTAAAACCGTACAAAGTACCAGCAGGTGCAACAACAACAAAAAAGAAAAAAGAAAAAAGAAATCCTGTTTCGGTCACAGTTACTCATAGATGGCCCTAAACAAATATTCCTAACACATTTGCTCATCTTTGGAACAAAAAATGAAGATATTTTTAATAAATATGAAAGACTTCGGTCCCTCTGTTCAAAGTTTATAGTGAATAAAAGCCTAAATTAAATGTGTTCATCATAAATTTGATCTCTTCATGATAGTAGCATCAGAGTTTTAGATGAATAGACTTTGAATAAAAAGAAATGTTACAGAATTATTAAAAATATCTTCATTTCTGTTTCAAAGATCAACAAAAGTCTTGTGTATTTTAAAGTATAAATTGTTCATTTTGGGGTAAAACAACCCTTTTGATGCCCACCCTGTAATGCTTTTAAAGTATATTAACCGCAACTGACATTTCATTCATGTAAAAGCAAATACATTTGCGTTCCAGTTGAATCAACACGTTTTGTAAGCCTCAGGTGCTGTTGCAGCAATTACAGATTGTTGTTTGAAGAAATAGTTTAGTCATGACAGTAAAAACAAACAAGAATGGCTGTCGATGATGTCTGAATCCAAACAGACAACACTTATTCGACTCATAATACTACGATGTTAATAAAATTGCCAAAAATGTCATCGAATTCACTTATCGAAATTGCTTACAAAGTCTACAGCTCATCTCAAGCTGACCTACTAGGTGTAGTAACAAATGAGGACAAGTCAAATCCTATGTCTCCAGATCCTATAACGTTGGTAGTAGTGAGAGATGGCTTATATTGCTGGGTTAAGTCTGTAAGTCTTGGCATACATAAGCGTGGTCCTGTTGATTTTTAAAATGAATATATTTTCGGAAGTAATCCACGGTTTTCTAGTGAGATTCCCCGTTGAGTGAGGAAACTTCTCCTCGAGGGGACGAGGATCTGGAAATGCCCTTCTCTGTGTTGTCTGAGTTGGACCCGCTCTGGCTGTGGTGATCTGCAGATGTCGCGCTGGAGGACGAACTGGACGAGGGCTTGGTTTTCTCCTTATAGTCTGTTATGATAACTGTCAGATCTCCCACCGTCACCTCCAAATGCTGTGCGCTGCTTCGGTCCACATTTTTTAACCTGGGCCTGCAGGATAGAGGGCAAATCGATTAAACTTTGGAGTCTTGACTTAAGCAAAAGCATAACGTTGCAGTCTTCTGTAGATTTGCTAATATAGATCAGCTAAATTGCCTAAATAGTTGATAAGCTTTGGAAGATGAGCAATGCTTCTATTCAATGTTGCAAATTCAACTTGTATGAAAACTGGAATTCC